CATTATATATATATTATAATATTATAAGTATTATAATTATAATAACATTATATGTTATAATATTATAATATTATATAATATTTTATATATATATTATATAACAATATAATTATATAATAGTCTGCTATAATAGTACAAAGCAAAGGACTAAAAAAGGGGAGATTTAGATTGGGTATGAGGAAGAAGTTTTTTTAAGTGAGGGTGGTGAGTCTGCCCAGAGAGGTGGCAGATGCCCCATCCTTGGAGACATTCAAGGATAGGGCTCTGAGCAACCTAGTCCAGCTGTGGATGCCCCTTTCATTGCAGGGGACTTGGACTAGATGACCTTTAAGGGGTCCTTTTCAACTGAAATGATTCCACAGTTTTAAGCGCTTATAAACAGAACAAATTAAATGCTCCCATTATGAAAGATAGCAACGCAGGCAAAACTGTCCAACCAGAGATGCATGAAGACCTATTGGAGCTGATCTCAACCTGGAATCCAGGCAGACAAGTACTGACAAGAGAAAAAAACCCAAAAATAACTGAATCATTGCACCTGTGTATAAATGCAGAGAGGCTTTTTTTTCCCCCAAACATAATTAATTCTTAACTGCATAAATGTCAAATTTCAGATTCTTAAAAAGTAAATTTACAATAAATACATAACATTTGGCAACACTGACTACTACAACTAAATTTAAGAAAAAAAACCACTTTCTGTTAGAGTATGTCCATTCTCTGAAACAATTGGCACCACTTCGAAATAATCTGCAAATCAGCCACACAGCCCCAGTTTTCCAGTTACAAGCTCAAACCAGATTCAGCTTCCTCTCTTCCCATCAACATCAACATGCTAGTTATTACAGAAACAAGACTTGACTAGAAATGACTACAGTTACTGCAAGTCCAAAGGGGAGAGCAAAACCAAAACTTGTGTCCCTTATTAACATTTATCTATAAAAACTGAATTCTTCTACCTGTCTTATATGTTGGTATTCAGTTTACAGACTGGTCAGGATCTGGATATAGATAGTAATGAACTATGTCATAAACAACCATCGGCAACAGAAAATACAAGGGAAAAAAATTGGATTTTTTTTTTTTAATTAAAGCTTATGAGGACTTTATTCCATAATTTTAAGAATATTTTTAATATTAAACACTGGCATGAGCTTACACAGCCACAAAGCTTTGCTGAAGAACTATTTTGAAATAAAGTTTCTGAATCGTTTCCAACAATGCAAAAAGAACTTACTTTAAATGTGTGGGATTTTTTTCTAGCAATATGTGGACAAATTTATGTAACAGTAATAAAATCGGGACAGTACAATAAATATTACTTCAGATGTGCTACAAGCACGTGCTACAATATTTTCTGTCACACATATGCCATCTACCCAAAATAGACACTGGAGGTGTTCAAGGCCAGGTTGTATGGGTCCTAAGCAGCCTGAGCTGGTGGGGGGGCAGCCCTGCCATAACAGGAGGGTTGGGACTGGATGGGCTTTGAGGTCCCTTCCAACCCACACCATTCTGTGATTCTGTGAAATTATGCTGCTGGAGTTAGTCAGATGCTTGTCACAAATTGGAAGATCAGTCAAACAACCAACTCACTCTTTCCTCCTCCTCTTCAGAAAGTTGCCACATGGCTGGGTAAAAGGCCAAACCAGAGAAGCTCCCCCATGCGAAGTCGCAGTGCAATAAAACAGAGAGCCAGGAAAGAGGGGGAAGGGTGGGCTTACCAAAACACCCCTGCAAGTATCAGGCAACACCCGCCTTCTGCAAGGGGCTCCAGAATAAGATGGGGGACAATCTTATCAGTTGAGTCTGCACAATGAAATTTGAGATTTCAGACTCCCAGCTGAAAGAAGGAACAGTGGATGGCTCATTCTGAAGCTCTGGGAATAAAGACTTTATTCAACCCACAGAGCTATTAAGATAGATTTTTAATGTCTTTCATGAGCAACAGCATGCACACACATATTCTTTTGAGATCTACGTAGTTTCCACACCATTAAAATGCAATGTAAATACCTCACTTAGCATATCCAAATGTTACTACATGTCATGCTCACTTCTTTCTTTTCATAACTAGCCAATTTTTTCAGCAGGAACAAGCTGAAGAAATATTCTTTAGAAAATAGCTCTGTTACTACAATTACAGCCATTTCTATCTAATTACCGGCTATTGGAACGCATTCAAAAATAGTTGAGCAATCTTGACTTTCTCATTCCTCTTAAGTAACTGTATATTTAATTAATATAGCTTATCAAAACTATTTCTCATAAATCTGACAGCACATGTACTTTCTTCATGGCACAGTATGTATTCAGTCAGAAAAAGCAACAAAAGTAGCACACTTTTCCCCACCAGACAATACAAAACCCCGTTCTACAAAAATTTGCATTTGTTTTTTTAAAGAAAGTTTTTACTTGAAGGAGAATAATCTTCCTCTGTCATCTATTTTCAGGGTTTTAATGGGCGTGCAACAACTATTCCTAAAACCAATTACGATATGATGCCTGAGAATCACTACCCTGAAGAATACAGGATTTCATCACTGGTCTTCTACAGTTTTGTATTCACAGTAGGACTGGTAGTGAATGCCACAGCACTATGGGTTTTCAGCTGCACTACCAAGAAGAGAACCACTATAACCATATACATGATGAATGTGGCATTACTTGACATAGCCTTTATACTTTCCTTGCCTTTTCGGATAATCTACCACGGGAAAGAAACATGGCCTTTTGGAGATATATTCTGTCGGATTATCAGTGCTTTCACTGTATTTTATCCAGCCATTGCTCTGTGGTTGCTTGCTTTCATAAGCGTAGACAGATTTATGGCTATTGTCCAGCCCAAACATATCAAAGAACTGAAAAATACAAAAAAAGCCCTGCTGGCTTGTACGGGGATCTGGATAATGACCCTTGCAACAACTTCCCCGTTGCTCTTCCTACGTTCTGATCCAGACAAAGCCTGCAATTTCACCACCTGCAAGAAAATGCTCGATATCATCCATTTAAGGGAAGTAAATATGTTGAACTTTTCTCGCTTGATATTTTTCTTTTTGATTCCCTTGCTTATTATGATGGGGTGCTACCTAGTCATTATTTACAATTTTATCCATGGCAAGACTTCCAAGTTGAAGCCTAAGGCCAAAGAGAGATCCATAAGAATCATTGTTACTTTGATTGCTCAAGTACTTGTGTGCTTTGTACCCTTCCACATTTGCTTTGCCCTCATGATGTTAAATGAAGGTACAAGTTACAATCCGTGGGCAGCCTTCACCACCTTTCTCATGAACCTCAGCACTTGCTTGGATGTTATACTGTACTATATTGTTTCTAAACAATTTCAGGCTAGAGTCATCAGTGTCATCCTTTATCGCAATTACCTCCGAAGTGTGCGCAGGAAGAGTTTTCGAACTGCAAGTGTAAGATCACTCAATAATATCAACAGTGAAATGATATAAAAAAAAAAAAGCAAAAAGTGAAAACATTAGAGGGATTCTCTAATGAAAACGAGAGGTTATTCTTCCAAATTCCAGAATTTTGGCTCCGCTGGAAAATGTTCTGTGCCCGGAAGTAACAGATGTTTGTTGCACTGTAACTATGCGAGATGTACAATGATAATGGCACTTCTGCATGTTTGCTCAACAGCCTTTGCAAATCTGAAATGAACTAAAACTTAGTATCAGTGTTAAACTGCCCACCACTTTTGTCACCTTAACAAATTGTAGCTATCACCAGACAAGAAATAACCATTAGTGTAATAAAGCACTAAGACTGAAAAACTGTGATGCAAGGTATCATCTATTGTTCATAATTACACAGCCTAACAATCCTAAACTACTGTATATCCCACTCTTCTAAAATCAGCTTCATTTTCTCCTGACCAATATGTCAGTATGACTTACAAAGTACAAATATTTCACCAAAATATTTATTTGACAGATTTCCTTCTAACAGCTTATGCAGACATAGATAAAAAGTCATAAAAAAATCAGTAGCTGAAGTGCTCATTAGTTCACTGTGTGATATGTACACTTATTACACTCTACACTTTTTATACAGATGAAAATGCTAAATTTGCTTAGATACTCTAGCAGCTTATGCGTGCCTAGCAGCTGTGTTCCAGCACAAAAACATTGCAGTGTTATTCAAGCTTTAGACTCCTTTTGAATACTCACACATCACGAGGAATGTATACTTGTAACAACAAAAGACATGCTTTATCTTTATTATTAGATCAGCCTTTTGCTACTTTCAAGAGATACACTAAAAAAGTAAAGCTCTGTAATCTTAGCATGGTGCTCAGCATCTAAACTCTTGCCTCATGAGCTTCTATTACTACCTCAGAGCATGTGACATCTGGAAACTCAAGTCTATATGAGGCTGATGTCTCTTAACCACAAAGGCTCTGCAAGCTCTATGGTTCTACTACAACAGATACACCTCCTATTAATGGCAGAAATGTCAAATACAGATGACACAAAACTCAACCATTAAATATCTTAAAGCTTTAAGAACTTTAAATGCAAACAAATTAAATAATATGCTCAAGCTTTGAAACACACACGTATGAAATACCAGAATGAAATGCATATAACTGCATTTAAAAGTGAACATAAAGATACGAATTAGAGTTAAGCTATCTTTGGCATTTAAGAAAGAAATCAGTACCAACCTGATTTCATTTACAGGTTTATTGAACAAAAATAAATATGGTGCTAATTTGTGCACTGTAAGCCACTTCTCAGTCATGCTGACAATGGATCTGGCGCTAACAGAAAGGAAAATCATTGTCAGGTGGATAAATTTTAAGAACCTTAGCCTCAGATCACAATTAGAAAATGAGTGTTAGAAAATATTTCTACCACAAAACATTTACACTGGAGTTCAAAAGGATTATGCTTAATTTAAAAGGTTACATGAAGAAAGGCTTTTAAATTCAAACCTACACAAAATATTCCCTTAAAATCCTATCTAAAATAACACTAGGAGCTACTTACAAACCAGAAGGCAAGCTGTTGATGGTGATGCCAAATACATACTGAGCAGCTTCTACAAGGAGAAGATCAAACAAAGCTGACAGCATCCAAGCACCCAGTAGAAAGGACTAGAAAGAAAAAGGTTAATTTTAATTCAATTCCTTAAAAATAAGATTTTAATATATCTCTTAAATAAGAAAATCACTACACTAGTTCAGTCAAGACAAATATAATATTTAGCACAGCATAAATTCAGATGTAAATGTTTAAATGCTGAAGAATGAAAAAGAGTTTGATTTGTTACCAAAAATAAATTCTGTGGATGCAGTAACTTTCAACTGATACAGATGCAAACTTAGAATAACCCACTGATTGCAAGATGAACTTAAATTCTGACTTACAGAAACCCAAATCACTTTAAAACTCTTAAATGTATATTTCTATATGGAATATTAGTAATAAAAACTACAATATTAATCTAAGACTACAAGATTCAAAACAGTGTAGAAAGTAATTTCCGATAAAAGGAGAAAAGCAACTCTAGGACTTACTGAAAATTTTCTGCTGCCGTATCTTCTTTCAAATATTCTGAAGTTGTAAATGAGCAGGCTGCTGCAGAATGTGTCTTTCAGATCAAGGCATATCACTCTCCCACATACAAGTCTCCAAATCTAGAAGGTTGAAGATTGTTACATTAAGTCTCTCTACCCTCACAGAAATTCTTCAGAGCGCTTGTGCTCAGAGTGAAGGAATATAAAACTAAACTCAGACAGCAGGAAGGCAGTATGGCATTAAAAGAGGGAAATAAAGAACTAGAATTCTATAGAGATTTCAAGAAGACTGTTTAAAAATGTTTTCAAACAAGAAGTCTATCTATTAAAACAGATCTACAATTTAAATCAAGTCAACCCCAGTTTTCATGATCCTAGTTCGTGTTTACAAATAAAAATGGAAACACTAACCCCAGTAAATGGTATAGATTATCAAAAAATTATTTTTAAGTGACCTCCAGAGACCATCTAAACCAGTGTAGTGCTCAAAGTACGTTCAATCAGTTCAGTCTGCTTGCAACCATGTCCAGTCAAGACTTGAACATCCACAAAAAATGGAAGCTCCACAACCTCCCTAGGCAACTTGTTGCAGTACTTGGCCAATCTCACAGACAAGAAAAATAAACGAAGTATTTTTATCTAGGCAGAAGTTCCTAAGTTCCAACTTTTGTTTGTTACCTCTTGTTCTAATCAAAGTGCGCTTCCAAGCAGAGTCTGGCTCCAGCTCTTCTGTAATCATTTATCAGGCACTTTGCAGACAGGACTAAGGTATCTCCTCTCCACCTTCTTTTCTCAAGGCTTTTCACCAAGTTCTCTCCTTGTATACCACATGCTCTAACCCTCTGTCATTCTAGGTGGACCCACTCCAGTGGGGTTCCTGAGTTCCTTGCACTGATGATCCCAGAACAGGGTACTTGTGAGACCACATCTGAGCACTGTGTCAGCTAGCAGGGAAGGATGGCTTGCCTGGATCTACTGCCACACTGTCATTAACACAGCCCAGGAAGTGGTTGGTGTTCTTGGATGCATGAGCACACTGCTTACTCCTGTTTAACTTGCTGTCCACCAAGATCTGTAGGTCTCCTCTACAGAGCTGCTTCCTAAGCACTTGCTCTCCAACCTGCATTCTTACTGCCTGGAGTTATTCTGTCCCAGAGAAGGACTTTCTACTTCACAAAGCTCCCATTTCTTCAGTTTTCCATGGTCTTTCTCAACAGCAGCCCTGTCTTCCGGCATATTGCCTACACCCCAAAATTGGGGTCACCCACTAATTTGCTGAGAGTTTAGTTCTTGCCGTCATTCAGGTGGTTAATGAAGTCACTAAACAGTACTGGTTCCAGTACTGAACCCTGAGAAGCCCTCCCCTAATTACTACCTGACAGGTTGACTTTGTACCAGTAACCACAACACCAATTTTCCATCGATCTATTAATCCATTTATTCAGTATATACCTCACCAATTTGGCACAAAATCAAGGACACTATGGGAGATGGGTTAAAAGCCTTGCTAAAGTCAAGGTATACAAAATCCACTGATTTCTCCTTATTCACAGTACTACTTGCCTCACAGAAAGTAATCATTTGGTCAGGCACTGCTTCATAGAAATAGAGAACTGTGGAGATGAGACTGTCCAGTCCAACACACTTGTTCTAAACAAAGTCAGCTAGAGGGGTACGTTAATTGGCCATCTCCAGACTGGTTTTGAATACCTCTAAGGATAGAGACTATGCAACTTGTTTGGGAAACCTGTTCCTCCATTCTATCAGACTTACCTTAAAATATATTTCTCTTTAAGTGAAATTCATTGTATTTCAATGAATCATCTCTTGTTATGTAAATAAACAGCACTGAGAAGAGTCTGGCACCCTCATCATTATTCCTCCTTCTCCCATTAGGTATTCACACATACTGGACAATCCACCCTAAGCCTCTTCTTCAGGCTAAGCAATCCCAGTCTCTCCTTGTACATCAAATGATCCAGCTCCTGGCTGTACCCATGTACCCAGTTCTATCTTATAATCACAAACCTAGAACAAAGGACAGCACTCTGGATGTGGCTTCACCAGGGCTGAGTAGAAGGGAAGGAGAGTCCCACTCAAACTCCTTGTGATGGATATTATACTCCATAGGTGTCTTCCAAGTTTGTTCTCCTACAACTCCCTGCAACTGGCCTTATTCCCTCCTCTCAGGGAACCTGAATTCCATCAGGAAATTCATGGTCACTGCAACCAAGGCTGCACCTGTTCTTCACACATCCCCAGTGAGACCTGTCTTGGTTTTAAGTAAGAGATCCGGTCAAAACATTTTCCCTCCTCAACTCCTTGAATATCTGTGCTAGGAATTTGTCACCAAAGCAGTTCAGAAACCTCCTTCAGAAACTCCGCTGTATTGGCCCCCGCAAGCACATATCAGCATAGTTAAATCCCTCCATGAGAGCCAGGGCCTGAAAATGTAAGGCTTCTTTCAATTGTCTGAAGTCCTCATCTACTTCATAGTCACAGGATCAGTCTGTAACAAAGTTACAGACCACAAAGTTGCCTGTGCTAGTCTGGCCCCTAATCCTGACCCACAAATTTTCAACTTCCCCCATCATCCATCAGTTCTGCACAGTCCCAGTCCTCTTTTGCACTCCTTGCCTACCTGGGCTATTCTTCCTAAAGAGCCTGTACCTGCCTGTTGCAGCACTCTCATCACATCTCCAGGACTACAGTGAGATTATGGCACATTAAAGGTAACACAGCTCTCGTACTTGACAAGAAAGATCACAGAGTGCAACAACATGCAGAATCACCAGCTAGGCCTAATAATTGTTAAGGCTTGTAGATGAGGAACAGCAGTTCTCTTCAACAGAAAAATTTCAGTTTCTCATAATTCACTATAGCAGAAGGTACAGTGTGACATTTATGTCCTCTGTCCTTAAAATAAATGGTAGGTTATCAACAGTAGCTGATCACAATAGTCTTGTCCAACCTCAAAAAAAATTAAGCACAAGAGGATAACAGACATTCATATCAGAACACCTCTATTACTATTTGGGTTAAGTCACACTTCGCTCAAAGCAAGCTTCCCAACTGCAAGGAGAGATGACACAAACAATCATTTCCCAGGCAAAAGAAAGAAGTGAAAGGCTTATGTTGACAGTTTCAGATCAAGTTTTTCTCGCTTCAAACAAAAAGCAGGTAATGGCCTGCTACACTCTGCTGCAGACTACTAGGGTAACTTAAAAGCTAAGAACAAGCTGGTCTACAGCAGTAAACAAAGGTAAAGAATCAGAAGAGAAAAAGAAAGGAAAAAATGCACAGAAGAGAGTCTCTTGCAGTCTCTTTCCACAAAAAATTGACCGATCCTTACCTGAAAATCCTCTTTTATAGCTTGTAGGTTATACGCAAAGAACTTCTGATAATGTTGGAAGAGCAGAGTCAACAGAATCGAGATGGCACTTGGGACTAATAACAGACTCTTTGACAAAGGTGCTTTATCTTAAAGAGAAAATAAACAGAAAAACACTTTAGAGGAAAATCTCTTCCATTTAAAAAGTGCCATATTTAGACAGGCGATCAGCAAACAATAGTGCATCATCTCAGTTTTATCTGATCAACTTCCTTTGCAAATAGATAGTAAAAACACCTCAACCCGAGGAAGTCTTCTCGGATTGATACTAATGACAATTCGGAGATACTAATGACAATTAAATATTCATTAGACATCTTGTCTTCAACATTCTCTCATGAAATTAATTGTTTGGTTATAATTATTCAAAGCTCTCCATACCTATGGAGATCACCTCTCCCACACAGATTAGCTCTCCTAACACTCAGTGATGTTTCAGGAAACAAAACAATTACTTGTTACTAGCAAAATAGTCATGTAAATGGACTTCAAACAAATACAGTTGTTTCTTTTGTGTTTGAGATCAACCTTTATTCTCAAGGCTATGAATAAATGTTGTGAATAAGTTTCCTTTCTCTTCACCATGCTTGGATCCACCATTCAAGGAGGAACGTTTAAGCTAGCTTACACAACATTCATCCTCCTTCCATTCAAACACTGTAACTATTAACAAAGAAATTAATAAAACTGCATGTGTGAAATCATAGCTTCTTCCCCTCTAAGAGCAGGAATTTCAAAAACAACATTCCAAAGAAAGCATGCAGACAACAGTGAACACCTTCAATGCGCATTTACTAAAATCCATCAAGTGGAACATCCAGCACAAGTATATGCAGCAATTCATCCTAAGCACTTGGTGCAGCTGCTGCAAAAAATCAGGCATTGATACAGCCATTCAAACCAGTATAAAATCTCTGAAATACCACTCTATGACTTCCCCCTTTTTCACAGCTGCAAGTTTTATCATATTTACTTCTTTCCCAGCACCCCAGTTATAACACAGAATCTATTCATCTATGCATCTGCATTTTTGCAGGTTACTATCACAAAACACGTAGCTCTGCTGTCACTATTCTTAGATAACAAAAGGAATAACATGATTAAAACTACTAAAGGGAAGTAAACACAGTGATCACTTAGCACATAATCCACATAAACCATCATAAATGATTCAGTCAACAACATCTGCCACGTACCAGAAGACTGAACTGCCAGAAAAGGAAGATGATAATAAGCACCAAAGCCAAGATTTTAATCATAGTACAATCTCACTACCATCAAAAATAGGTTATTACTGAGTAATCGAAGCAGGATCCACACCCAAGTGCTAACTGATAGCTTCAGGAACTTTCGCTGTCAACTGTCTGCAGTTCACACCACCTTGAGATTCTCAGTCTTCTGTCACTCACCAGGTGGGGGAAACATCTTCCGATGTGCATCGTATCATCTACTTGTGCTTATAATTATTATTTCAGATCCCGACTGTACTTTTGAGTTCAGCACTTATAGACTCACTTTCCTTACTCCATTTAAATAATCAATGCCTTGGAAGTACTACCCTTTTGGAGAAATTAAGCAGTGACTTGGAACAACACAGGCTCTACTCCTACAAACAGATTTTCTTCAGGAATTGGATCAGGAGAGTGGCAACATCTGGTCGTTGTTTTTCAGGTTTTTTTAGTACAGGAAAATTATCCAGCTTTCAATTTACCCATTTGTTTTTATTTCTCTAGTAACAAGGTTTTCTATAGTCTACAGATGTCCCTTTTTCAATTACTCATTCAACTGATTCATTTTAATGCTTAAAAAAAGAAATAAAAAAAAAAAGAAAAAAGCCAGCATTCCATTAGTAAACTTAACTTAGATAATATGAAAAGGTCAGTTTTATAACCAGAATACAAGAGAAAGTTGAAAGCAAAGACTAATCAGACGCATTATAGTAGTCACAATGGTAGACATTCCTGAGCCAAAGTTTGATAACACTTGGCATTTCACATTATTGAAGGAGTTTAAACACATTTTACAGGAACTCTTTAATCCCACGATGTACACATAACAATCCTGTTACCATAAAAAACACAGTAAGCAAATCATTAGATATCTCTCCATACCTTTATATTCCTACACAGGTTTTATACCTGTTTTCAGATTTCATTGTAATTTTCCATGCCATTAGATCATTATTAGAATCATAGAACCCTAAAGTTGGAAGAGACCTCCAAGATCATCCATTCACATACCACCAATGTTGCCCACTAAACCACGTCCCTCAGTACAACATCTAACTGTTCCTTGAACACTTCCAGGGTCAGTGACTCAACCATCTCCCCGGGCAGCCCATTCCAGTGCCTAGCACTGCTTTACAGTTAATACACAAAGTTCATTTCTAATTTGTGCGTGTTCAAAAATCACCCACAGAACACCATTCAAAAGTACAAACATGCCATTTTACCACAGTCTCCCTTTTAGCTTTCAGATGAGACCCTTTAAACCCTATTATAAAGGATAGAACTTAATTTTTAAGCCCGTCACCTAGTGAAAAACCACATAAGTAACCAAGCCATTACTGTGACAGCTCCCCACAGGGAAAGTCACATGAGTAACGGAAACTTCTACTCTCAAGTTTCTCAAAATGTCATCCTACTTGAGAAGTGTATTGCTGGCCAGTTAAATGAAGAAAGATTACCTATTTCAGATGAACAACACAACTTCCAAAACACTTTTTTTCAAGTGTTTCTGGTACACCCAGTATAAGCCAGTAGTTTGCCTTACCATTCAACACCATACAGATCCTTACCAAGGACTGCTGCTGTGAGGCCACCCGTGAGAGAACCCCCCTGCTGCTGCCAGTACCATCTGCATCTACCTGTAAGACCAGAAACAACTAAAGAGGCCAGATACTGCACAATTAGGCATTCTGACACCCAGATTAAATGCCTTGATTAGAATGGAAAGGTAACACTCAGGAAGCAGAATTCTGGTCTGATAGATCTGCAACACCATGCGGGATGCAAACATGTCCTGCCAGTCCCCATGGTATTGCTGTCTACAGGCAGCACTAATATATATGTGCACAGGGAGGAAAACACACCTCTGTTCCTCCGTGTCATGTAAAGAATGTAGAATGAAAGGATAAACTCTCATTTTGACCCTGAAAAGCTAAAATGTACCAAATGTTATCTTCAAAGATCTCAGAATATATTTGCAATCCCAAAGCACTTTTTAAGTGACGATTCATCCAAGCAACAGGCAATAACAGCATCATTGCTGCAACAGACAGATAAGTGAACAGAGCAATTCTGTAACACTGGTGAAGCATGCCAAAACCACAATGAAAAACACAGAACCAGCCTTCACTGCAGATCTTTGCTTCTCTCTGGTGCACTGGAGAAGTTCTCACCAAAACTACCCTCATAAATTCCCAGAAGCATCGCAGCCTACCACTTTCTTGGTGACACTGCCACATTCAAAGGACAGAACTGAGGAACAAGAGGTGTCCCTGGAGACTTTCAAAGCAAGGCTGGATCAGGCCTTGGGCTACCCGATCTAGCTGTGGTGTCCCTATTTGTTGCAAGGGAGTTAAACTAGACAGCCTTCAAAGGTCCCTTCCAACTCCAAGGATTTCATGATCTCTCACAGAGGGGGAGGCTGATGGCACAAGCTGTTGCAGCTTCAGAAGCCACCACTGCATTAAGAAGAACACGAGAGCTGCAGTAGCAGAGTTTTTGAAATGTTTTTCTGTTCCTTGCCTGTTCAGCATTATTGGTGAGGAGATGCAGCAGCTGAGAATACCAAAAGAGGCAGCAAGACTAACCTGCTGTTCAAGAATGACTTTTCAGGGAACAGCTTCACCCCTTAGACTGCTATTGCGGGCCCAAGACTCAAGTGTTGACTTGTGAGAGGACCTCACTGCAAACCCCAGCTGACAGGCCGTGGCTGCAGAAGCTCAGGTTAGCTCAGGACATTTCTCTGCAGATCCCAAGTGAACACACACCAGAGCTGCAGAAGAAACATGATCTGTAATGGCTTTTTAAACTGTCACCTGGAAACATCCCCAGATGAACTGCCTGAGGCAGCCTCATCACTTCCATACAGACAAATTAACTGTTGGGGACCACAACAACAGCATGAAGTACATATGAACTATCTGATAATGCCTATACACATTGATACACATGAGATACATGAGTCTTTCAAACCATAACTGATGGACATGCGAACGCACAGTTTCTCCTATATCAAGTGCACTGGCAGAGTCAGTAGTCTGTGGGGCTTTTTTTCATTTTTTCCTGCCTTCAGCTGTCATTCAGCTATTCATCTACTGCGTTTCACAATCTGAACAAGAACCAGCAGCACATCCACTTGCCTAAAGTGGCATTTCAAAACAGAGTTTTCAAGGAGTCTTACTTCTCTCCCTTCAGACACAAGTCTGCTAGCACACCACACAGAAATACCATTAAGAGCATGAACGATTCATTTTGAGTACTAGGAAACCTTGCTTATCCTTCATCGTAATGGTTGCTGAAACTCACTATCTGAATTAATATCCAAATAGTTTTTAAGTGTTTACCAGACACCACGTGCTTCTGGGAAACCAGAATAATTGTATCAGATCTGAGGATCTGAGATCTAAAGCCTGTTCTTTGCTATCATGGTGCACTGGGTCCTGAACAGCAGCTGAAAGCAAATCAGAGCATGCTGTGGAGGGAGGACAACACGAGATACTGACACGTGTAATGCTGCTGGAGGAAGGGGGAAGATGTCACAAGCCGGCACACCAGCTGTGAGGACTGAACTCTTCCAAGTGATCACTTTTTAGGTCAGTTGATCCAGTAATTATTTTTCCAGTGCCTCATCCTTTGGAATAGAACATGCAACACGAGAGGACCCTGCAAAAATACTGGAGTTATTGCTGCAAGGATGATATGACTGAATGACATATCCTTGCTCACAAAAGCAACTCCTGCCCCTATGCACGGAGCACAGGCACAGGAAGGGGATGTTCTGCTCAGACTGCCTCATCACAGCGTACTCTGGTGGTTAATCAGCATGATGTCTGCAAGTGAATGCAGTCATAAGAGTGTCACAACAGGAAGGGATTTTCACCAGAAGCTTATGAACTTAGCGCAGAACCTTAGCATACATCCTCTTAACATGGCAAGAAAAATCTAGTCTGCACTCCTGTTATGCTACAAAAGACCAAAGGATTTCAGTCCTGCAGCAGAAATGCGTTTGGCAGGAAGAAAGTCAGAAAAGAGACCAACGGTGATCACATTTTACATCTGTTTTCACAAGACATTGGTAGGACTGTAATCAAACCTATAACCTATACACTTACTGTCTAAGGAGGAGTTGGTGTTAGCCTAGGTTACAAACTGCAACAGATACCAAAAAAAAAAAAAAAAAAGAAGAAGAAGAAGGAAAGAAAATCTTTGTTTTAAATAGAACATTTGAAAAAAGAAAAAAAAAAAAAAAATAGAAAGTGAAACAGTGCTTATCTAGTTGAGCAGTCTCTTCTTCCTCCCTTCCTCCCAGCCACAGAGCATATTACCCTACTACTATTAATACACAATGCCGGAGACATCAGGTACAGCTACAGCACTGTGCTGCACAGATCCCCAAGGTGGTCTGAAATTAGCTAGCTCTGTGGCAGAAGTGCAACAGCCACATTTTTGCAGCACGCAATGACTGGCTAATTGAGCTCCTGTGGCCGCACCGTTCCCAGGACTCAAGCTCATGTTTTGATCCACACTGCACTCTAGCATGCTGTTGTACAAGCTGAACTGTTTTCCCAGATACCACTAGACTGCTTAAAACTTATGCACACAAGCCAGATACAGTCAATACATACTCCATTTTTCCTTTAGTCACATCACAGAGCATCAGCTTATGTAGTTTAATTATTTTCCTAATGCCTGCACACAGCACACTTCAGGTTACACAAGCTGAAGAGCACATTACTGCACTTCTGTCTTGGGGATATTCAACCAACCTTGAGCATTCCACCACAAGGTTCACAGAGAGGTTAATGCCTACGTAGCGTTAGAGGAAACCCTTACATATAAGTTCAAAGAGCTCGCCTCCCTACTGCTGCACAAAGTACTTTGTGCACAGTAGGCAAAGTAGTCAAACAATTTTCAGGTGTAGCAAGTGGATGTGCTTTAAACTTAGACTTCGATTTTACCTTAAAACCAAAGATTAGCTCCAGCTGACTCTCCTACTGTCCATACCCATGGACAGCAGTGAACATAGCAGCACTACAGCTCTGAGCAGCTAGCCCCACACCAGCCCTGATACACTCATGCTGGCCTCTGCTGAGCTGCTGAAGCATTTCAGTAGCATTATTCATGGGATGTGAGCATCTGGCAAAATGTGACAGATACAATCATAAGACGGTTCGGGTAGGAAGCTGATCCTGAATTTGTTCTAGACACTGCACTGAATACAATGTAACAACACTCAAATTGCTTCTCCCTTGGCAACACAAACTATTAAACTCATCTTTGCATCTTTGTAACGTTTCCAGAGTCTGCAGTAGTCCACAGTCACTTACTTTGCTTTATTCCAAAATTAGCAAAGTGAATAATAAACTAAGAATTCAAAGAATGACTATAACATCTTAGTCCAAGGTGCTACCAATCTTCCTTGGATCATTATTACCAGATGGAGTAAAAAGTTTAAAGCCAGCTGCAATTGCAGCCACTAGGAGTCAACAGCTACATTCTCCCGTCTGTTTCAGACGAGGATTAAACATGACGTACAAGAACCAAAGAACTTCAGATGAGTTAAAGAACCATTTAAGTTCTGATTAAAAGTTTCAGAATCAAAAAGTTGTTTTTAAAAAAAGGTGACCGGGCCAAACCACTACACACCTGCTCCTGGAAAACTGACTGGTGAAATTGGTGGAACACTTTGCCTAAGGAGCCCATTCAGACTCACATTACCAACACCCGGTGGAGCTCTGGGGTCACTGGTTGTCCATTTTGGCATGGCTAAAGATGAGAACCTTGCTGGAAGGTGTGACAACAAGGCGATGGGACAGAATGCAGGAGCCACTGGCATTTCTGACATGTCAGAAGACACTAAAATCCTTACTCTGTGATAGATAAAACCAACAACTAGGTCAATTTCTAGATGACCTAAGATAGGAATTCAAGGCCAGGCTGGATGCGGCTCTGGGAAGCCTGGTCTGGTAGTTGGCGACCCTGCACATAGCAGGGGGCTGAAACTAGATGGTCATTGTAGTCCTTTTCAATCCAGGCCATTCTGTGATTCTATGATAAGTGACTGAAAAAACAACAACAACAACAACAAAAAAGATTTACCAAACTGTATCACTACGTGGCTTGTACCAAACACTACAGGTGTTACAAAGGCACTCAGAGGTGGCACGCTGGGCTACGAGAGCCTTCAGCCTGACCCGCCGCATCACTTGTACTGCAGTCTAACTAGCATCTATCTGGTTGTCCTACCTGGAGTGAGTTGGTGAGGAGCGCACTTTGTACCAGTTTATCAGAGAAAACAAGGAGGTTGAACTGCACACACTGTGCCAGCAGAACGGCATCTCCGCGGGGCCAGCACGGATCATTCTGCTGACCACCGTTCACCCACTCAGCCAAACCAGGCACCTTCTCACGCCACGTACTTTCTCGCAGCTTTACACATCGTCTCGCACCTCCGAAGAGCTGTTCTACGGCGCAGAAACAATCGCCCACCGGGAGCCGTCATTGCAACACGACGTTACCAGACCCCCCCCACCCCCGCGTCGGTGCTCCCCGTGAAACAGTCAGGACCCATCGCAACAGTCGGCTCTCGGCCCGCGCCTCGCACCGGCCGGTCGGAGCGCCCCCCGCGCTGCGGCGCGCCGTCAGCCCCCCCGCTGCGGAGCTCCCGCCGGCAGCGCGGCCCCGTCCCGCCCCGTCCCCCGGCGGAGGGGCCGGCCGTCCGCCACGCTGAGACGCCGACACACCCCTCGCCGCCGCCAGGACCAGTACTCACAGAGCCCGTTGGAGCCGGTGCTGGTGAACATGGTGGCAGCCCGGCGGCGGCCCAGCCGCGGCAGGCGCCGCTAGCGGAACCCCCGGAGGCCGGGCAAACCCCACGGAACCGCGGCGGGCCCAGGGACGCGCGAGTAAGGCGGCCGCGACGGGCCAAACGCCGCCGCCAGCGAGCGGGCAGCGCCCCCTACCGGGACCGCCGGGAGGGGAAGGCGGCGGCGGGTGCGGGGAGCCGGGCGGGGGCGCGCTGGAGCGGGCCCCGTGGTCAGGATCGCGGAGAAGCGAGGTCCTTGAGACGCAGGGGAAGCCGAGACCGTGGAAGCGGTGTTGTTTGAGCGACTGGGTCGTTTGCACGGTCGGGAGGGATGTTGTCTTTGCTGTGAACCTCATGGCTACAGGGAATCTTGGGTCACGGTAGATGAGCTGTTTGCTGTACAGCCATCACACAGCGCCAAGTGGTTTAGGCTGGAACGGACCTCAAAGCCCGCCCAGCCCAACCCGTGCCACAGGCAGGGCTGCCGTCCACCAGCTCAGGCTGCACAGCGCCCATCCAGCTGCCTTGAGTGCCTCCAGGGATGTGGCACCACAGCCTCCCCGGGCAGCTGTGCCAGCGCCTCACCGCCCTCTGAGCAAAGAATTACTTCTTCCTAACATTCAACCTAAATCTCCTCTCTTGTAGTTTGACAGCTCCACTGTCTTATCACTACACTGCCTGACAAAGAGTCCCTCTCCAGCTTTCCTGTAGGCACCGTCAAATACTGGAAGGCCTCAGTGAGGTATCCCCAGAGCCTTTCTTCTCCAGCCTGAACTAGCTCAGCCCTCAGCCTGTGTCCACAGAAGAGGTTCTCCAGTCTTCTAATCATTCTCGTGGCCCTCCTGTGGACTCGCTCCAACAGCTCCATGTCCTTTTGGTGCTGGAAGCCCCTTCTATCTCAATGCATCTTCCATTTAGTGATGTTTAAGGATATACAATAACCAGAACAGGCAAAGTACACTGTTAATTAACCTGCAGCCCAGACAGGGGGCAGATTCAGAAGGCAGGTGTAGGCCAAACGCAGCAGCAGGGGACATTTTGAGGCCACAGCAGAAGACCACCTTGTTTGCACAGGGTTTGAAAGGTACACAGTCAGCACTCAGACATTCCAGGCATGGGGGAGGCCAAGCACTGCTAGACTGATATAACGTATGTGAGTCCAGGTATTTCTATCTAATTACTTGCCCCTTTCTAAAGATGAGTTAAATTTGAAAACTGAGGACCCTTCAATCCATAAGTTTTGGAAAAGTACAACACCTGGCTCGTCCCAGGAGCCCACAGTGTGTCTGCACAACAGCCATGTATATGTGCTCATTACAGCTAATGGAGGCACAGTCCATAGGTTCAGCAGAGACTGGAGAGACTTTCGGATGATCAGAGGAATGTGTCTATTTTGGGATGAAATGAACTACCCCCTAAAGGCCAGCAACTATTGATCAGAGAGCCTCTAGCTGTAACAGTATAGATATCAACATTTAAGGTAGGATGAGGCAAAATCCACCCTCAATTTCATTCAAAGCCTGAATCCACCCTCAGCTTCATTCAAATATGGTATAATAAGACAGAAAATTGGGGCACCCAATTTCAGTGAAATGTTCAAGTCTACACAGAAACCCAAGCTTACTGAAATAAGTTATACAAGGCACTTGGAGAGATATAGTGCTCTGCTCTGTGTCACAGATGTGAGTGTCAGGAAGAAAGAGGATGATGTCTGTGAATTTAGAACTGAGAGCCCCAAAGTCCTATTTTTTAGCACATTGAACTGTGAGCCTTAACTTTGATTATTTCCCTTGATTTATGTTCCCATATCGTGTCATATTAGAGAGATTCTTTTCTGTTCAGCACTGGTATTGGATGGAAATCAGAATCATTAAACATCCAAGAGTCTTAAATGCATTCTGCTGAATAAGGCTGAATTTGGGCAAACACTTAAATTCTCTTTTGAAAGCAGCTCTGCGGATTTGCTATCAGAGATACTGAATGAGTAGCAAGCAGTAGTGCAGCATCATACCATAATATGTACTTGCAGATTTATCAGTGCTGCTGAGATACTGGGAGCTGGCTCTGGATTTCTGTGCTATTTTGTGTAAGTCTACAAATACACTACTGAGTCTATAAAGCATCTAAAGATCTAGCATCTAATGTCTCTGTTTCAAAAAATAAAAAAGATTGAGTTATTTTTTCTGAGATTAGATCGGATGAGATGCATAATGTGTTTTTGAGAAAACTGTGTACCCAGTGCTAATAATTACACTTTTATGTACCAATTGAGTGGTACAGGAAATGTAGCTTTTGCCTTCAGACACAGTGGCAACCAGAGACTTCATTAAAGAAGAGAGCTTTCCTGCTGACATTGGCAGCTCCAGCTGATAGCTTGTCATAAGAATTATGTGAATGATTTGCATTATTTAAATATGAAGTGTTGTCCTCTTTGGAGTTAAATGAAATCGTCAGTCCTTGTGCTTGCCTTGGAACATATCCCAGAATAGGAAAGCTAGCACTTATCTGCTAATCTACTCAGAACAAGCTTAGAAGGCTTTGACACTGCTCAAATGTCAGCTTAAATATCTGCATTTGTTTTTTACATCTAGTTAGCGAGGTCAGTTTGCTATGTTCAAAATAAACTTATTTAGATGTTCTGCTAAAAAAAAAAATAAAAATCCCAGGAGACTGAAAATCTGAAAATTATATTTCTCTTGTCTAATACGATTAGATTTCTTTCTTCTTCGAACTTGCATTGTTTTTAAACCAACTCTTAATTACTAATTAATCTCCAAGAGTCAGGTGCTCCCCTGCCACAAAGAATGAAGGATAGCAGCAGAGTAGAACAGGATGGAAATGCAACACCTCACACAGGAATCTGCTGTCTTAACTCAGTGCTATCAGAATTCTGCAGGTTCATGGGTGATGGTCCCTCATGTCTGAGGTTTCTGTGGCTTTCATAGTATGGTGCATGCAGCTATTACAGCTACATGAAATATTAGCAGATGCCTGGAAATAGGTGAATGTTAAACTTAATGATTTCAGTAACTTCTTCAATAACTAACAGTTCCCAACCCTTGTTTTCAGCTGCAGAAGAATGTAGAGAAAGCTGTTTACAATACATACTCTGCAGAGGAGATGTGAGAGGAGGATGGGAAGAAAGTAGAGAGATACAGTGGGATGAAATCAGCCTAATTGATCCTGTGCCTTTCCAAGAGTGAAGAATTTCTCTCACTCCTTTGGGAGTGAATAATGTTTTGTAACACAGCAGACCTGCCTATCCTCTTAAACTATAGTGGGTTCATTCTATTACACTGACTTTATTTTTACTATAAATTGAAGAAATGGAACATTTTCTAGATGAGTTCTTTCCATGTAGAGCTTAGAATTAGTGTGAGGAGAAACAGAGTGGCTAAAGGAGAAACTTTTAGGTAGTTCTTGAGGAGCATTGCGAAGTAAAGGAAAGTAGGAAAAAAAAGGCAAGAATATTGTGTGTTTTTTTTCCTCTGATATTGGTAGGTGACCATGCATCACACTATTATGAAAAATGTAAAGGCTGCTCAAATGTTTTCTGTCTGTTAAGGATTTAGCCACTTGAATGAGATGTTCTGCAAAATTTCAAATACAAGGATGAACTTGAGCTCCATATCGATGTATAATAATAGTAATGTGTGGATAACTATTCTTTCAATAACTCAAACATAATTCAAACATCACCTTCATGTTTTCCAGCTAGAACCCCAGAAAGGGATGCAGTCGTAGTACAGTGTTTAAGGGACTGGCTGACTTGGAGCAGAGCCAAATCACCAGCTGGTGGTCACCGGCAGCCACAACCTCCCACTTCTTGCATTGCTCACTTCCATCCCCAGCCACTTTCCAACAATTATCCCTATTTTGTCCCGGCAAATCACCAGAAATGTGTTGCATCCGCTTCCTCTTAGGTTTATGTTGTGCCCTCCAAATGTGGACGAGAGAAGAACAGCGAGGCACAAAATAAGTAAATAAACGAAAGTTGAGAACAAGTGCCTACCTGGACTCGTGGAGGCTACCTTGATTTCTTCCTCACATTTTATCTTTGTGTGTTGAATGTACCCACCGACCGTTTTACACTGACTCATAATCATCTCTTCTGTTTTAACAGTTGACCATCAACTCCTAAGCACCACGTGCAGGCAGGTATTGGCATCTCTGTATTCAGGGGCAGCATCAAGCATTTGATCAGCAGCTCTGTGTTTGAATGCCAGTAAAACCCTCCCTTGGGTTTGCCATCCTTACATTCTCTGTCACAGGAGCCAGGTTATTTATTTCAAAGAAGGCCAGGATCCTGTGAAAAACAAGAGCATATGGTAGGTAGCATAACCCGCAACTAGATTCTAATGCAAACACATTAAAAGAGAATTAGGCAAATTGATTCTGGTATTTCTTAATTGATGACATTGATCTCAGCTTTTACATTTAATGTTCTATGTTAGTGTTTTATCTGACTTAGGCAAGACTTCATTCTTGTATTACAAATACACACTTCCAACTGTCTTTGGCTGAGCAGCTCACTGGATTTTAGCTCACTCAACCGAAGGACATTAATTTGCTGCAAGGAAAATTGGGAAAGATCAGTAAGCATCAGTGAAATGATCAAATTTAAGCATAGTGCATAGGAGACTCAATTAAGGAATCCTTTAGAAGGGCAAAATATTATGTGTAGCACTGTATAGCATACATAATATGAAGTTCAGCAACATACTTTGCATATCTGTACCCCATAACGCACACTAGAGTTCATGCACAAGTCATCTTTTTCAGATTGAATTTATGTAAATAGTACCTTTGTGATCTGGCATACGATGCTTAATTACGCAAAGCTACTAACGAGGATTGCAAAACATTTAAGCTTTTAAAATGCAGAAGGTACTTACATTCCTGCATGCCAGTGTAGCTGTGTTGAAATTGACTGTTAATTAAAATTGGATTTAAAAAAAACAAGCGCACTTAGAGGAGTATTTTTTAAGGATTTTTTTCCCTCCCTGATACTTAATTCATATTTCCCAGGCATCCTCCTCCTCTTGCTCCACATCATAGTGCTATCTGTGTTT